TCATTTTCCTGACTCTTTTAATACCATCATTAGGAGAGCTCTCCTGCGTGCCTGCTACCGCTGCTGGCCAAGAAACGCCAGGCAGAGAGAGTGAGAGGAGAGAGCGAGATGAGCGAGGGGCGGAGACAATTAGAGAAATGTATGCACAGGTTTTTGTCATGCGCCCAGGTGAAGACGGTTCCCAGGAACTTTGCTTTTGGCAGCTGTCTGTCCCCGCTGTGTGCCTGAGCATCTGACCATGCTGTGTAGGGGTGGCGTGTGTTGTCGCACAATTCCCACTTCAGCAAAAGTGGGAATTGCGCACGTGTGTGTGTTAAGGTGTGTTAATGTGCTTCACTGCGGTGGAAACACATTCCCCGTCATCCAGGTGTGCACCCACCTGGTTTTTTTTAGGAGCAACCCCCAAAATGACAGGCAACGCACTTCCTCTCTTAAAACCCCTGAGACACGAGGATCATTTCTCACCCAGCTGGATCTCATTTCTGGCCAGCGTGCATGTCTACCGTCTCCACAGACCTGGGTGACCCCTCTGTTCCCACGGTAACCTGAAACTGCCCCACCATTTGTCAGAAGTCACTGATTATCTGAGGAGCTGTGGCCCATCTGGAAGACAGAAAGCCGCACACCGGGGACAGGTATCTGCAGTGCAACGAGAGTATGTTCTTGTGTGTGTGTGTTTGTCAAGTGAGTGCAACATGTAAAGTATTTGTCTCCTAAGTGTGGTAATTGATTCAATTATGCGTATTAATCACGGTCGGGATTATTTAAACATTATCTGTTGACATGAAATGTTTTGCTTCACAGCTCTAACATTATCGCTGTATGTGTTTACATGGTTTAAAAGATAAGTATATCCTGGTGGATGATGAAGATATCTAACACTTTTAGTGACTTTTAAGGATTTGACTCCCTCTGCCTATCTTTACTTTTACATAGCCTACATTTTACTTTTTGCTTTTTCTAAAGATGGTCTGATTCTTCTCTTTCTTTCCCAGTTTCTCTTGTTTACCGTTAGCTGGGTCACATTGGTGCATGCTGAGCATTAAGAGTTTAGAATTGTTCACGTATAATACTAACAGAATCTCTGTAAAAGGATAAGACCTCTTCGGCTTGTTGCATCATGACTCCTGTGTGGAGAACATGCTCTGACTGTTCTCCAGTAACCAGGGCTCATAAACAGCAGGAGTACCAACTTTCATCAAAATTTAAATTATTTGATGAAAATTAATGAACTTTCAAAATGAAAATGAATGCGTCTCAAGCTGAGAGTTTGACAGCGTTGCTCTCTGACACTGTGTACAGTGCAACAGGCTCCACTCAACTGCTTTAGCACATCACAATGACAGAATTATTTAGCGTGAAGAAATGAAATAGCCATGATGGTGTAACTCCCATTACTATGCCACTGTCTCTTCTAGAAATAGGAAAAGCACTGCTGACACACAACATTCCACGGAATATCCTAAAGAGACACACACACACACACACACACACGAATGCACCTGACCTCACACCCACATGTGCACAAAATCAGGCGAACACAGCCTCCACATCTCTGAACAAATATTGTAGGTGAGGCACAAGTGGGGCCAGCGGTTCAAACACACACACACACACACACACACACACACACACACACGGAATTGAAGTTCAGGAATTGAGATCTTGGCATGTGATTTCGTGATGAAATCGACACCTTTTTGACGAAAAACATTTCTGTAGGTTTCTGTCATTTTTACCATTTGTGTGTCTGAAAATACGGACATAATTAAACTAAACCACCACCTCCAAATTTACCTGTTTAAAGTCAAACAGGTAAACCAATAACTAGGCATTTTCACAGCAGTTATTTTCGACTCCTCATAGAGAAAAGTGTTACTAATAATAATATAAAAATGTCTGTTCTACAGGACCCTGAAACCAAAGCTAAATGGAATTCAGCCATCTTTCCCTGCTGTGACATGTCTTGACATTCTTAGTAAGTAGACAATTATTTCAAAGCCACGAGGAATTATTCAACCCTAATTCATACCTACAAATACAGTTGTTGCCAGACACTACACACACCAACATTCATGCATGAAGTTGAAACCTCAAAACCTTAGGAGTTTTTATTCTGTTTGATTCATGCAGTTCCCCATTCTGCACTCTGCACACACAAACACACACACACAAACACACACACACAAACACAGTCTCAGCTGCAGTTTAATTTCATTTTGCCCTGCACACTCCCCAGTTCTCATACTGTACAGAGCGCAGCCTCCTCTCAAAGAACTAACCAGCTGATCACAGCTTCTGTTCACAGAAATCCAATTCCCTCCAAAGGTCATTTGTCCATTCAAAGATTTTCCTTTTTTCCCTGTGCTTTCTCATGCTCTCTTATTTATTCTGGTCATTTGTTTCTTCTTGAAATCTATACCCTTTGCCCTCTTCATGTCCCCCTCCTTTGCCTCTTTATCATTATTTTCTTGCATTTTGGTTTGAACCTTATCTGCCCCTGTCTTGGCTCTCTCCCTCCTTGCCGCCATCACACACCCTGGATCACAGCCAGCAAGCGATTCTTGGCTGTGAATGGTAACGCAGGGCAGAAGACGCTCTAACCAGGTGGCTGGGTCACTGAGGAAGTGGGCACAGCAGGGCAGAGCTGGGCTACGGGGCTCATGGGTCTAAAAAGGCAGATGTGGGCAGAGCCCGACAGAGCTTGGCTTTATTTCTTGGCATGCCTGAGGAGGTTGTAAGAATTGATTAGTAATGACCAGAGTTGTTCAGGGGCGAAGAGAAACAAATTAAATATAAGTGAACAGCGCTAATGTGATTATTAAAAGGGCTTTTCCTTTTTTTGTTTCGACTCTTTGGTGTGGGTATTATAGCGCTCATATCAATAATATTTGTCTTGTAAATTGTTACTGTAACAATATTGTTTTACTCCTCAGCTGTTTCAAGAGAACATTTTGAAAACAGCCTCAAAAAACACTAACGGATAGGTTCACATAGTTTCACGCCTGTCTTCAAACAACACTTGCATGCTCATAACTCCTCCGGTCCATACTGGCCCTGAAGAGATCCCTTTCTAATGCAACTCTAGAGTAAGTGAAGGGGGACTAAATCCACAGTCCTTATTCTGAGCAAAAACGGAAATTTTACTGAAGCCAGTATGAGACTTCAGCAGTCTGATATCGACAAATAAAGTGAATATTTTCATATATTACATTTATTTCTTCAGTCAACATATTTTTGCTAAGCTGCGGTGGAGGGACATTAAAAAAATTATCATTTTGTACTAAAAAAAAAAAGACCATAACTTCATTCTTCTAACTTTGATTGTCAAAGTCACTCATAAGCTTTCACTGCACATTAAAAAGGTGCCCTGTAAAGTTACATTTACATTCAGTATGTTTCACCGAAACGCATAGTGTGAATCCTTGAGGCCTGACAACTGTGTTGAATGTATTTCCTCCATCATACAACTTGTTGGCACATTGCTAAATCACCATCACCAACTGATCAACGGAATAGCATATTGTGTCACCCGCATGCTCATGTGCATACATGTCCATCTCTGTGCACGCGCATGCTGCAAACGAAAAGGAGCAACGGCTCGTTAAAACATTGCTCCATAGCACTACTAGTGGACAAAAACTCTAGAGGGTACTTTTAAGAATGCAATTCTGCAGATCGGGAGGACTGTGGATTTTATGCCCCACCTTTTAAATTGGAGTCACAATAGGAAACACCAATGTGGACAGAAAAAAATACTATAGTGATCAAAAACGTGTTCAACATACACACAGGCATGCGAGTGTTATTTTATGTAAGAAAGTCTTGAAAACATGTGAACCCATTCTTTAAAATCCTGGCATGCTTGGCAGTGCAGTCAGCCACACTGGTGATCTGTTATCTATAACCAACTACGATTTGACAGCAACCTTTCCTAGAAATTACCAAAAGGCCCTGGAGTGATGGGCCGGAGCGAGCAGCAGCAGCAGCAGTGAGTTGCTGCTGCTGCTTGTGTCAGGCTAAGTGGGCATGTCAGGCCTGTGCTGTCCTGGCTCCCTGCCTGCTCTCTCAGCTGCTTGCTCAGTCCCCTGTGTCCTCAACCCTAAACGGATCCAGTCGCTGCTACTCAGCTCCAGCGGCGGGCTGATCCGGCTGACTAATGAACACTTTTCATAACGAGGGGAACACCACCCCCAATCCCATTATGCCCTGTGCACATCCTTGGCCCATTTTTACTCGTATTTACGTGCCTTTTGTCCCACTGCCACAAGACTTGTCTTTCACACTTGTCCCTTCCACGTCTTCCTCGGTCACTGGGCTCCATCTTTCTGCATCCTCTCATCTTAGCAGTTCCTGTGAACATTCTTCACACGGTCTACATCTCACTTGCCGAAATCCATTCACCAACTGTTTGCCATCTCTGTTCCTTTTCCTCAATTCATCATCAGCTCTATTAAAAGCATTTACAATTCAGGCTCTTTTAGCAACTGTTGTGCAACCAAAATATTTGATGGTGGCAGCTTGAATTCAAATGCTGTTGAAGTGTCTGCTATTTGTCCAGTCCTACAGTCCTACAGTGTACAGGACAAGTCAGCTAAATGTTATTCTAAAAGCATTGTGCTGAGATAGGCATAAATACAGAGGTTCAGTGAAACAACAGTGTATTCCTTTAATAATTCCTTCCCCCTTTTACATGAGCATACTAAAAGGGGCAGAGGACAGAGGGATGAAAACATGACTCAGGTATTTCTCATGGCAGGCCTGTTGTTACAACTAGTCTGGAAGATAACATCGGGGAGAAAAGACGTGTCAATCATAAGTTTGACCCCAAGACGACTTCGGAGGCCATCTAACATTCACCAGGGACAAAGACATAGTCAAGGGGCTTTTCCTATCTCCTTTCCCCCTCGTGTCATTCTGTCCTCAGGCACCTTTCCAGTGAGCTCAGTGAACACTGCAGCAGTCAGCCAGATAAGAGGTAACACAGGTTGTCCACTCACCAGGCCGTCACAGTTGCTGATAGCCACAGAGGCTCCTGGTGTGTCTTTGATGTCCCCCACGTACAAGCATTCATCGTGCAGTGGCTCAGAGTGCCGGGTGCTGTCGCTGTCATCATGCCACTCCATCTTGGCTCCGGGGGCCACCAGCCTGGCATTGTGGTGCAGACGCAGGTGGAATTCCCGGCCGAAGATGGTGACGTTGTAGTAAAGCTTTTGCCGAAAGGCCATAGGCTCTTCCCTTTGTCCTTCCCACTCATCATTGCCTACTCCTACCTCCCTCCTCCGGCGCCTACGGGACTGCCCTCCTGCCATGCGGCTAGCCGAGACGGCGTGTGACAGGAAGCGGCCCTCTGCGTCCACACTGATCGGCCTCACCAGTCCATACTCCCCCAGGACATGCTGCAGGGAGTCTGGGAACAGGACAGCAAGAGGAGGGAGAGACGGGAGAAACAGCATGAGGCAGTGGCAGGTGAGAGCGGGAACGATTGTTTATTTGGTGCATATGTGAAACCACAGCAGGGGTAGGAGGAGACATGGGAAAAGCATGTGGGATAATCCGTGGAGAAAATGGGGAGTCAAGGATGGAGGGTGAATAGGAGGATGGAAAAAGAGGTGGGAGGGAAAAAAAAAGGGATTACAAAAATGTCATGCATGGGATTTTACATTCTTTATTCTGCGTCACAATAATAAATACAAGAAATAAAAGCTGTAACCTAACACACGCGCGCGCGCGCAGCCCCACCCAGAGGCGACCCCGGTGCTCGGCAGTGCGCGTTTGGAAAAGGCAGCCTCAGCAGAGCGCGCTGCGCTCCTGACACCTCCTGTGCCCTTCCACCATCAACAGGAAAGCCAGTACAAGATGAAGGTGCTAATTGTGACTTTCTCACGCTGTTTTCTCACTGTCAGGCTGATCTATCCGAGGAAAGTGATTTCTCTATAACCTCGACAGCGACCGAATAGCAAAGGAAAACAAAAGCGCGCTGTTAATTGATTTGATGCGCGTTGGAATGTATTTTGGAGTCATTTATCCCGTCATCTTTAATTATCATTACTGTTTCTTAACTACATGCAAATTAATTCACTATGAGTATTGACTCTTAAAGACAGGCCATCTGTCTTGGATTAAGGAACATTTATGTGACAGTTAAAAACAGGTGCATTTTAAAGGCGACCCACCACACACACACACACACACACACACACACACACACACACGCACACGCACACACACACCTACACACACACACACACACACACACAGAGCAGAACCAAGGCCATGTTAAGGTGTCAATGCCATCACACAGTCAGAGACAGTAAGGCTATGACCTTTATGTGATCCTCAGGTGCACGTGGTATATTTATTATTGTTATTATTATTATCATTACAACGTGATCCATCTATCATATCTAATTTATAAAGTCGACTGGCTGATTAAATCGAACACACACTGTTAATATTTCTTTAGCTCACATGTTAGAGGGATGAGTTGATAATAGTGTGATCAATGGGCTGACATCCGACTCCAGCGTCCTGTGACAGATCGATAGATGCGACAGCGGCAGAATCAGATAATGTTAGACTACTTCCCTGCAAAATCCGCCAGTAAACCGGCGCATCTGATGCCCCCTTTATACACCTCAGATAACATTATCCCCCTGAGATTGGAGAAAGCAAATCCCAACACTGCACTTGCACCGCTGAGAGACCTCCGGAAAGACCCTTCAAACACCACAGCAAGACGCACAGAAGTTGCAAATGCGTCCCACAATGTTGTTTACAAAAACAGCAAACAAAGCATGTGAAAAATTAAACACAAGCATAAGAAACAATGTTTTTTGCCGCTACGTTAAGCCCCAGACTTCCAGTGAGCGCACGAAAAGCCCCGTGCAGCCCTGCTGATAAGAGATCAGCAGATACATAGAACAACATAAACACTGACCACGTTTAACCCTACTGTACGTACCAACGCTACTGGCGATGTAAAGGCCGCTGATGGGCAGCAGAAAGGCCGGTAAAATAATTAGGACAGTAAATCCAGGCGAGAGACCCATGGCAGCTCCGAACTGCGCAGGTGAGAGAGTGGGACTCCGGGCTCCAGTGTGGTGAAGTTCCCCGCCTGGCGCGACCAGCCACGCCACGACAGCAACAGCACAGCAGCCCGCAACTAGACTGCCAAGTGCACCGGGAGAGACGGAGCTCTCCTCCCCTCTCTCTCTCTTTCTCCTCCTCTCCGCCGAGGTCTCTCTCTCTCTCTCTCGCTCTCTCTCTCTCTCTCTCTATTCCACTCACACAACTCTCTTTCCTCCTCTATGTCTCTCTCTTTCTCTCAACTCCTCTCTCACATTGTGTGTGCTCCCCCACTTTCTGCCTTGGTGCTCTGACAACTCCCCGCACGCACACACGCACACATGCACAGTCCGGGCACCCACACACTCCCTGCGTGTCTCCGCTGTGTGAGATGAGAAGATATTTCAGGGAGCGCTGGCTGCGCTGCAGACTGACTGACAGGCCCGCTTACAGCTCGCATCAACAAGAAATGCAGTGAAATTAACTAACAAGCTGCTTTATTACACCTCCAGCATTCGGCGAGCCAAAAGTTGTTTTTGTTTTTTTTTGCAACTTGGACACTCTTTCTGGTATGAAAACTACCGTCCTACCCTCCCTTCCGCCGGTCCCCGGTGAGCTGCAAGCCTTGCATAAACTTTGAATATCCCGTCAAGCTTCCTAGGTTGGGTGAACAGCAGCGCCCCGCGTGGCTCACTCGCGGAAATGCCCTCAGTTTTTCAGGGCCCAAGGGTCCAATTTACAGACAGAAAAAGTGTTACTAGCCCTAACCTGCTTGCCCTCATTTAACACATAATTTACCCCTCTTGACCACTAATCTTATATTGTTGCAAACATCGATGAGCAGCATAAGGCAAACTACTGATATGAACAAAATCAATTTCATTTTCAGGAAAGTCTTCTCTTCTCTTTTTGTTTTTTCTTTTAAAAATATAAAATATATAACACAGACGACACAAAAAAAACAAATAACCTTTGAATATTACCAAAGCCAGGTATCAAGTAGTCCCAATTAGCAGTGTGTCAATTTAAAAAAGCTCTGATTTGATTTGTATTCTTTGAATTTCGTTGAATTTACTTTTGCGCCGAGCAATAAAGCTGACTTCTCTTTGTATGTAGAGGCAGTAAGAGAAAAGTATTGTTTAATGTTATTAACCAAGACTCTTCCAACACTTTCTGCACAGTTTAGTTATTTAAGCGTAGTGTAGCTTCGTTGCAACCCAAAGGCAGAGTGATTTAAATGTCACCTAAATATTAATGTGAAGCTATAGTCAAATTAAAAGTGTGAATTTGTAACAACATAACTGTTAATTGTCTTGGTGGCCTTGCCATCCGCTGCTGCAAATGTCATGTTTCCCTGTTGTATCTCTAATTGTATCATTATATCCTGGTTAAAAGACTCAGTTCTGAACTGCTGTGAATTTGTTGAAACAAATATGAAATACTGTTCCTCCTTCCTCCATCTTAGATGTATGAGTGACAAGTCAGTAATTGAGCTTGTTATTTTTGTATTTTTAACGTGGTCTTCTTGTTTTAATTTGCATAGAATACGCCAACCATCTCGTAGTCTGAACTTCAGTGAGAAAAATTTGAATATTTTATGGTCATTTGTAACTATTCTGTGGCGTTTTATGGAGTATATATTTTGTATAAACTTTGCTGTTGGTAGAATTACTTAACAGATAACAGCACCTTGGTAGCCAGACAGTTACAGTGCATGCCATATAACCACAAAGTCCTGGGTTCGATTCAGATCATACCCCCTCTCTCTTCCCCTATCTCCAGTCCGCCTCTATGCTGTCATCTGTCTTATAAAGCCCAAAAAATAATCTTAAAATAATGCATATGAGTTTAGACAATGTTTAGATACCCTTAAGCTTTTGGTGTTAAATAATTTCTCGTGCAGTCTAATCCACTCTTGGCATTTAACAAAATGTTTAATACAAAGTTGAACTTGGAGGGGTCAAATGCTTTTTATGAATTAGAATCTTTTATCAAAAGTATGTTTCACGGGAAGTGACCTCTTTTTTTTAAGTTTTACAGAGTGCTATTTTTTCCCCTGAAAAGTTCAGAAAAGCCAGCAGTGCCTGACCTTTTTCAAGGCAGACATTTTGACTTGTCATAATAGGATCAACACAGGTGAGACTAATTTCATTAAAAATGGCTCAGTTCCATCAAGTGTCAGAGGGTGCTTTTCCTAATGCCAACATGTCTCCTAGATTCCGTTCTTTGCGTCCTCTCCTTGTGTCTAAGCCCCTTGTGTCCTATCTCCCACAGGAGATGGTAGTGGAGGAGGTAAGGAAGAGATGGAAGGAGTGAGGAATCGAGGCAACAGGCATTTAACAATCTGAGACATCCTTGTTTGTATGAAAAGTACAATATTGTACAAATAAAGTGTGACATGTATATGATTGGGTGATGTATTATATACACACAAACACACTCCTGTCTACGACAGCATGAAATACAGCAAATTAGTGGAATGCAATTTCTTTATTGATAAAATAAGCAGCGGTTTGCACTTGTAAACATTTCAGGATTATAGCAGTTGAGTTGATTGTAGCCTATATTCAACGATAAAATTGAATATCAAGGTGAAATGTCATTAAGGAATGCAGTTAAAACAGTGTCTTACAAGGTGCTAAACAAACAGTAAAGGGCAGAAAGTTTGAATGTGCAATAACTTATAATAAATAACTAATACCTACAACTTATGAAAACAAAAGGAACAGTAGAATTGTAGAGTCTTGCCATGATTTGAGATTTTTCCAGCTGTATTTTATACTTCACGAGCGTCAAAAAGACGAGGATAAAGCGCAGTTTCCTCGCTCTCAGCTCCGCCACAAGCCTCCTCTCTGCTTGCTACTCATCTACTCAAGGTGCATTTAAGGGATTGGAAGATCCACCATGGTGGCAGGGAGGACCATTTCTGGGTCAAGCGAGAGGACACAAGGTTAGCGTATTAAAAAGTACCCTGTGAGCCAGCTTGCACAAAAGGCCCTTCTCACGGTAACCGGTTTGACATGCCATTGCAGGGAAAACACAGGTGTAATTCTATCAATCCATTTTCTTTCTTGTCCAGGGCCGGCACGTTGGGGCAGCAGGCTTAGGAGGGTATTCCAGACGTACCTCTCCCCAGCAACGCTTTCCAGTTCTTCCCAGGCCAGACAAGATTTATAATCCCTCTCGGGGCCTCTTACTAGTTGAACCTCTTAATGGAGGCGTCCAGGAGGCATCCTGATCCGATGCCCAAACAACCTCAGCTGGCCCATTTTGATGCAAAAATGCTCTCTTACGAGCTACTTCTGGATGTCTGACTAGCCCTAACCAGAAGGCTGACCTCAGCCATCATACGAAGGAAGCCAATTTCGGCCACTTATTCTTTTGGTCACCTAGAGCTTTGCCTTCCTGCTCAGCTTCCTCTATTCGCCACAACAGTCCGGTGCAACACTGTTATTACTGCCGACGCCGCACGTGGAGGCACTGACTCTCATCCCGGCCGCTTCAAACTTGGCTGTTGACCGCCCGAGTAAATGCTGAAGGTTATGCTCTGAAGAAGCCAACAGAAGCACATCATCTGCAAAGAGACGCAACTCTGACATCCCCAAACCGGACACTCGCATCCCTTCGGCTGCGCCTTGAGATCCTCAGAACAGGATCAGTGACAAGGGGCAACCCTGGCGGAAGCCAACACTCACATTTAACGTGTTTGACTTTGTGCCAAGTATACGGACACAGCTCTCACTTTGGTTATACAAGGACAGGATGGCTTGTAGCAATAAACCTGCTACCACATATGTCCCCACGTGACCCCCAGGGGACATGGTTGTAAATCCACAAGACACATGTAGACAAGATGAGAAAACTCCCGTACCCCTCCAACATTCCTGCAAGGGTAAAGAGCTGGTCCACTGTTCCAGGGCCAAGGTTAATTCTTCAATGCTCCTCGTGGATCTGAAGTTTGAAAATCGGTCAGAGCCTCCTTTCAGCACCCTGGAATAAACTTTGCAGAGGAGGCTGAATAGTGTGACACCCTTGTATTTGCAGCACACTCTCAAGTTCCCCTTTTTAGAAATGGGTGCCACCACCACCAGTTTCCCTTTACCGGACGAGGTGTGACAACTCTTTTCTGGCCGATTGATATAAGGTCAGTGAATTACTCTTGGTCTGGCCCCAACCCTGGGACAGACGGTTTGTCCATGTGCACGCAACTGGTTCACCTTGTGGCATCAACAATGACTCTTATTTTCTTACATTCTGCTATGACCATGTCCCTTAATTAAGAGTGGTTTCATGAACTACAGGATAAGTTAAACTCCAGGAATTCCTCAATTGCCACATCATCACTGAACTTTTACAGGACGCTCTGAAGAGCACACTGAACACATTTCCACCTCCGTCTCTTGATTCATACAGTATCTTACTATGCACTACTCAGGAACTGTATGCCAGCAACGTAGTAGGAGTGAAGCCTTTCTAAAGGCAATTGTCCTATTTCTTTTAATTCTTTCAACATGGATCAGTTCAATTTGTTGTAATAAGTTATGCAGTTTTGGAACATTAACTCATTCTATCGTATCTCCTGTAAATTGCTTTCACTAGCAACACCAAAAATACATTTAGTTTGTGATTTTATTTCTATTCAACATACCAGCACTTTAATCTTGTATATACGTATCTGAAATATGCCAGGAGTGTTTACATAATTATTTTAGTAAAATCTGTGCATGGCAGCTAAAAACTGGTCGAGGTTAGACACATAAAACAACTTTATTAAGGATAGAAAAAGATAGAGGTCCTAGAAAATGTATGTGTTCAGGACTAGTGTGAGACACAATATGAACGCAGTGTTGTAGACAAACTCATACTTACCCTGACCTCCACACCTTTACATTTCACTGCCATACATGAACATCTCACATACTTCCTGCACTGAGACAAAACATAAATCACTGAGTGGGTTTACTGTGCACAACTTGTACCCATGAGGCTAATGCTGTGTTCACGCTACGAGTGAAATAAAGAAAAAAAAAAAAAAAAAAACTGCCAAAGCATGGCCAGCTACATTGTCAGCGAGTCACCGTTTTGATCTGTAGTGCTTCACTACTGTAGCGAGTGTCAGGCGTCAGTTAATAGCTTCATGTCACCGGTTCCCATTGAAAGGACTCGTAGC